TGAACTGCATAGTGAGACCCTGTCTCAAAAAGACAAAAAAAAAAAGAAAAAAAAAGGGCTGAGGATGGAGCTCAGAGAGAAGGCCCTGTGTTCCATCCCAGCGCCCCCCACCCAGGTCCTAGGGGACACAGGGTCCCACCTCGTGCCCCAGGGAGCAGTGGAGGACTCGGGTACTGCTTCTCGCGTGACACCGTCACCATTGTGGTCAGGTGCACTTGGCCGCTGCAGAGGCTCATGGGAGTCTCAGCCAGTGTCCTTCGCTCCCAAGAGCAGAGACTCGCACGGCTCCTGCTCCTTGAAGTGGCCTATGCATCCGGGAAGCCCCCCGCCCCCTCCCGCTTTCTGCCTGCGCCCCTCTTCTGCAGCCTCAGACCAGCGCGACCAGGCTATGCCTCCGCTCCGTGTCACCCAGCGGCTCTGTTCCCCCACCGCGCCTCTGCCCTCTCTCCTCTGGCTCTCTGTCCGAGGGTGCTGCGTGCCAGGCGAGAGGCTCCATGCATAGGTGCCCACTTGGGTGCTGGGGTTCGAACCCACCGAGGGCCGGGGAAACCTCTCCCCGCCGTGCCTCAGTGGGCGCGAACAGGAAGGCACTTCCGGGTTACCACCCCATCCCCTCGGGGACGAGCACTGGCCCATGAACTCTGCACAAAAGGTGTTGGAAGCGGGTGTGGTAGCGATCACCTGTGGCCTCTGGTATTGAAGGATGAGACAGGAGGATGGGGAGTTTGAGGCCAGCCTAGGCCATTAAAAAAGAAAAGCTTGGGCTGGGGATTTAGCTTAGTGGCACAGCGCCTGCCTGGCAAGCACAAGGTCGTGAGTTCAATTCCTGGTACAGGAAAAAAACCAAAAAAATAAATAAATCAATAAATAAAAAGAAAAGCTGGACTCCTAACGCCCCAGTATTTGGAAAGCCGGTCTGAGTGGACGTGCCTGTGGAAGTCAGGAAGGCCCTCGTGCAGTGTGACTAGTGTCTCAGGAGAGGCCATGGCAGGAGACGTCCAGGATGGCCTCAGCCACCAGGGGCTGTCAGAGAGGCCTGGGGCCAACCCCTCTGCCCAGGAAGCAACTGACCCCCAACACCTGGGGTTCCACTGCCAGCCTCTAGGCCCTGTCCTGGTGCAGCTCTGGGACACCAGCGCTCCGGTCATAAGGTCCGGCCTCACAGAAGGAGCGCACTGCTGGGTCACAGACACACGCTTAGGAGCTGGGGGTGCAGGGCGCAGGGAGAGGAACCCAAGTTCAAGCCAACTGAGCAAGACCCTGTCTCAAAAAATAAAACAAGGGCTGCAGGTGGAGCTCAGGGCAAAGGCCCTCGCTCAATCCCCAGTGCTCCGCGTCCCCCAGCTTGGGGGACAGCAAGGTGGGGGGTCCCTGAGCCCCAGGAAGCTGACCCAGAGACATGTGTCCCTGGTGGCACCTAACACTCAGCTACTGTGGGGGCCCGTCCTTTCCTGGTAGATCCTCCGGAGACCACGGATCAGGAAAACATCTGTTTATTCCAAAAATACCGAGTCACAGCTCCTCTGTGGCCTGAGCAGGAATGAGGCAGAGCCAGTGCTGGAGGGTGCATGGGGACGCCAGGGGCAGGGAGGGCGGGGAGTGGCTGTCTTCAGGCCCACAGCTGCTCCCCTTCTCTCCGCCACGGCCCCTCCAGGGTCCCCAGCTGGGTGGCGCTCGCGTGCCCCTCTGCACAGCTGTGGGGTCTGCTTGTGCGGGGCAGGGAGGACGGGCGGCCAGGTCCCGGCTCGGGGAGGGTCCCACCAGCACCCTCAGACCTCTCCAAACTATGGCTTCTCCGAGGTGAGAGGTCAGGGTGCCCGTCAGGTCACCTGTGCCAAGTAATCGAGGGCAGACGTGCCCAGAGTCCAGGCCAGAGAGAGCAGGGAGAGGGGGCGCACGCCTGAGCCCCACATCTGGAGCTGCAGAAAGCTGAGTATTACAGGGTGCTGAGCAGGGCAGGGACCGCCTGAGCACGTTGTGGGGTAGGGGTGCAGTGGGGGTGCAAAGCTGGCCAGGGTCTGGCAGGCTAGGGTTAGGGTTGGGGTTGGGGTGACCCCCATCCTCTGTGTGGTGGCAGCCCAGGCCAGTACCTGCCCTGGGCTCCTGACAGGGTGAACCCAGAGGCCAGTAACTGGGGGGGAGTCTTAGGAGGGGGCCCCCACCTCATCCCGGGGCTGGGGGAGGGTGTAGCCCTTTAAGAGTGGGGAGCGCGGCCCTGCAACATGGCTACGTACAGAGCTGGGGACAGACAGCAGGGTGGGCAGTGGGGACAGCACTGAGCTCCCCCAGCTGCTGGCCAGAGCTCTTGAGCAGGTATGGCACCAGCCAGCGACTGCTGATTCTGGGGTGGCCCAGGGAACGGAGACAGGGCAAGGGTCAGTGGTGCCTTCCAAGGGCCCAGGAACCCAGCCTCGGCAGTGATAGGATGCTGTGGTGCATCCTGTCACCAATCCGAAGGCCGGGCGAGGGCAGTGACGTGGCCTGGAGGGCCCAGGTGTCCTCACCGGGGCTCAGGGGGAGGCTGGCCAAGGACAAGTCTGGTGGCTGGTCCAGGCATCCACCCAAATGCAGAGCAAGGCGGTGGCACGATCTGGGGGGGCCAGAGTGTGGTGGTGTCACTGGGGGGACGGCTGGCTCTACCTGCGTCTGTCAGAGCGGCGGGGAGGGCACGTCGTGCTGCTTTCTGGAAGGGAACTGTGAACGCCATGCCACCCTGGAAGACAACTAAACAGCCTGTGATGGTGTCTGGGCCTGGCACGGCGGGCTCTGTGAGGTGACCACACGCAGGCAGAGCGTCTCCGGTCCATGACGACACACTGGATCTCACGGGCCCTGGGAGGTGATGATGCCATGGCTGAAGTGGACTCTGTGAAATACCACTACTGGTTGTCATGGCTCCTGGGAAGGGGGACACCATGCTCACCACGGGGCTCGGGAGCTGATGACATCATCGGCATCATGGGTGAGATGAGGTGGTGACCCCACGGTCACGGTGGGCCTCAGAGGGCCACAACCTGATCGGTTCTCGTGGATGAGAGAAGGGGACGATGCCCTCGTCATGGTGGTTCTCTAGCTGAGGACATCATCGTTCTCGTGGACCCGGGGCACCATGGGCAGGGTGGATCTCAGTGCAGAGGACATCATGGGTCTCATGGGTGAGGGGAGGTGGTGACGCCGAGGTTGGATGGACTCTTGAGTGGCAATGACACCATTGGCCCTCAGTCATCTGGGGTCACGGGCTGAGGTGGTCCTGGGAGGTAAAGACACCTTTGGCTCTTATGGCTCCTGGGGGTGATGGCCCTGGGGTCTGGTGGACCCTGGGAAGCAATGACATCATGGCTGTGTTGATCCTGGGTGGCAGTTCCACCTCTGAGGGAGGTGACAGCCCTGGGACGTGACAGCACGGAGCCGGCACGGATGTAGGGAGGTCATGACACCACGGCTACCATGGATCTCCGTAGATGACGGTGACAGTACTAGGTATCACGGAGGTGGTGACACCACTGGCCCTCGCACGTCCTGGGATATGAAGACACTGGTGGGAGTGGGTCCTACGAGCTGAAGACACAGCTGGCCCTATGGCTCCTGGGAGTGGTAACCGGTCGTGAAGAATCACGGGCGATGGTGACACTATTGTCGAGGAAAATCCTGCAAGAGGATGGAACGCTAATCGAGATGGGTCACGCAATCCTGGGAAGTGGCATGGTTGACATTTCACCCTGGCCGGGGATACAGCTCAGTGGCACAAGCGCCTGCCTGCCAAGCGCAAGGTCCTGAGTTCAATTTCCGGTACCACAAAAAAAAAAAAAAATTTCACCCCAAGTGCTACGCCACCATGAGTGGGGGACACCGCGTGGCACAGGTGACATCACCGGCAAAGTCAAGAACAGGCACCCCCAGTCCTCCCCTCCAACAGGAGGCCAGGACTTTGTTGGTAGAGTTGATGCCGTCTCTAGGTGTGGCAGAAAGAAGTGACACTAGCCTTTGGGCCACCCACAAGTCCTAGGCCTCTGGGAGCCTGGCGGGCTGGTGTCCTCCGGGCAGCCGAAGCTGAGGGAGGGTACCATCCTCAAGGAGCCCCGTGTGGGGCAGGACCCGGGGCTCAGCCTCCTTGGAGAGGGCCTGGTAGACAGACGCTGTCAGTCCTGTCCCTGGGTCTGCGGAAGGAGCCAGTGGGCCAGGTCAGGTGGGAGAAGGCAGGCGCTCTGGCGCACTGCCTGAGGAGGACACTGGCGGTGACGTGGCTGCCTGGGGGCATCACCGCCACCCACCTACAGACAGACCATCGCCTCGGGGGAGGCCTCTGGGGCCAGGGCAGCCTCCGGATGCTGGCACCTGTCAGGACAGCACCTTCATTGACATCCTCCCCCGGGTGGGCCTGGACGCTGCATCCGCCCTCTCAGCGCAAAGCACAGCGGCAGCGGCGTCTGCTGCTGCCACCTCCAAGGGGCATCTGGCGCGACCTTGCAGAAGGGGTTTCCCCCGCAGGGGTCCCAGGACGGTGACATCCCCGGAGGAGGCAGGGTCCCTCTGATGTCGTCACAGGGCAAGGCACCTTCTCTGGCGATGGCATCACAGGGGGAGGGGAGGCAGAGTCCCGTGACGGTGTTGTGGGAAGGAGGAGGCCACGTCACAGGTGAGGACGTAGTTGTGGGCGTTTCCCACGGCACGTCCCCAGGAGATGGCTTTGACTGGAGCAGTGACAGCGTTGCGGGGAGGCATCGTCTCCACGGCGGACACAGGAGGAAGCCGTTTTCCCGTGGGCGCGGCGCTCAGAGGCCTTGGGTCAGCAGTGACCTCGCAGCGTGAGACTCACCTCCGAGGTGACATAGAGGAAGCGATCTGCGTCTCTGGGGACCAAGTCTCGGGACAAGGCATTGTTGTCAGTGACACCACAGCAAGGGGCCTTCGTGGTGGCGCCGCGGCAAGCGGACACAGCATTAGTGGCACCCGCACAGGCGGCCGGTTCCCGGGCGCTGGCCCGGTGGGAAGGCGGCGTCCTCCCCGCAGGGACCTGGCAGGTCAGGCCCCCGCCTGGCGGGCAGCCCCCTCCTCGGCGACGTCCGGCAGCGGGGGTCACACGGTCACCTCGTTCTTGCTGGCGGTGCGCAGGTGCTGCGGCAGGTGGTGGCCGGGGATGAACTGCAGCTGCTCCAGGGTGCCCTGGCGCTGGAAGGGCGCGCGGCGCGCCAGCGTCCCCCCGCCCTCGGCGGCCCAGGCGGG